CAGACTAAGTTAAGTGATGCCACCTTCCACCTTTGTGGTCCACAGAACCCTATTTTACTACATTACAGCAGTTTTTCCAGTGGACTATAGATGTCTGTTCACATGCCTCCCTCCCATGTGAACTTGGGATTTCTGGAGCACAGTATCTACGTTAAAAACATTTTTTTCTTCCCAATCCTTATAATAACATCCATCTTGCAATAAATGTTTGAATAAATAAATGAACAAGTGAAAAAATGAGTCACATATATTTTAATGTATTCAAGGTTCCATCCTTCTGAGTTAATGTACTTCATTGCCAGTAAGTCCTTTGTTTTCTTCAAATGAGTCTTTCTTCCTGCTTGTCAGCCATAGCAGGTTGAATGGTGTCCCCCAAAAGATATGCCCAAGCTCAAAGTACCCATACTTGTCAATGTGACCTTCTTTAGGTAACTAAGATAAGGATCTCAAGAGGAGATTATCTTGAATTAGCATCTGTCAAAGAAAAATAGCACTGGACAAGTCAAGCAGGCAAGGAAGGCTTTTTTGAGGTCTTAGCAATAGGGAGAAGAGACTGAACCCAAAAGACAGGAGGAATTTTGAGTGCAGACGTGAGTTGGTGGAAAAGTCCTGGAGGATGTTAGAAGAGAGGCTGGTCAGTGTGCTTAGGTCATCTGTACTTGCTAATTGTCAACTTACCTATGTTGGGCTCCCACCCTCCATCAGAGATTGGAACATAGAGTCACTAAGTTTCTTGATGATTACATTTTTTTATTAAGCTATCATTGATCTATAATCTTATGAAGGTTTCACATGAGCAGCATTGTGGTTGCAACATTTACCCATATTATCAAGTCCCCACCCCCACCCCATTGTAGTCACTGTCCATCAGTGTAGTAAGATGCTATAGACTCACTACTTGTGTTCTCCATGCTATACTCCTTCCCTGTGACCCCTCCTACATTATGTGTGCTAATTATAATGCCCCTTAATCCCCTTCTCCCTCCCTCTCCAGCCACCCTCCCCAATTCCTTCCCCTTGGTAACTGCTAGTCCCTTCTTGGAGTCTGTGAGTCTGTTGCTGTTTTGTTCCTTCAGTTTTGCTTTGTTCTTATACTCCACAGATGAGTGAGATCATTTGGTACTTGTCTTTCTCCACCTGGCTTATTTCACTGAACATAATACCCTCTAGCTCCATCCATATTGCTGTAAATGGTAGGATTTGTTTTCTTCTTATGGCTGAATAATATTGTGTATATGTACCACATCTTCTTTATCCATTCATCTACTGATAGACAGCTTGGTTGCTTCCATATCTTGGCTATTGTAAATAGTGCTGCAGTAAACATAGGGTTGAATATGTCTTTTTCAGTCAGGAATCTTGTTTTCTTTGGGTAAATTCCTAGGGGTAGAATTCCTATGTCAAATGATATTTGTATTTTTAGTTTTTTGAGGAACCTCCATACTGCTTTCCATAATGGTTGAACTAATTTACACTACCACCAGCAGTGTAGAAGGGTTCCCCTTTCTCCACAGCCTCACCAGCATTTGTTGTTCCTCGTCTTTTGGATGGTGGCCATCCTAACTGGTGTGAGGTGATATCTCATTGTGGTTTTAATTTGCATTTCCCTGATGATTAGCGATGTGGAGAATCTTTTCATGTACCTGTTGGCCATCTGAATTTCTTCTTTGGAGAAGTGTCTGTTCAGATCCTCCACCCATTTTTTAATCAGGTTATTTGCTTTTTGGGAGTTGAGGCATGTGAGGTCTTTATATATTTTGGATGTTAACTCCTTTGATGATTGCATTTTAAAGGGATGGTTCCCAGGTCTTTGAGAGATATATTTCTGGGTTGTAAAACCAGCAAGAGGAGAGGAGATGAGAAAGAATTTAGAATTGCAAATTTTCTAAAGTAAATGCTCTAGGAAAAAGGGGGCCAGGAGCCTGAAATCAGACAGAAGCCTGTCTAGGACTCAGCCTAGCTGAGGGGAAAGTCAAGGCTGTCTCAGTCATGTGGGTCTTAAATCCAATGACAGTATCCTTGTATTTTTATAAGAAATGTCCCTACAACACAGAGGCAGAAAAGAGAAGACACAAAGACACAGATGGAGAAGGCCATGGGAAGACAAAGATGAGAGTGATGTGTTTATAAGCCAAGGAATGCTAAGGATTTCCAAGAGCTACCAGAAGCCAAGAGAAGCACGGAATGCATTCTCCCCAGACCCTCTAGGGAAGGTTGCTTTGATTTAGGTCTTTTGGCCTCTGGAACTGTGAGAGAATGGATTTCTGTGTTTTTAAGCCTACCAGTGTGTGGCAGTTTGTTAGAGCAGACCTAGGGTTGTAATCCATCTTTCTGGAAAGGTTTCTCTCCACTTCTCATGTAACTCCAGTCGTCAAAATTGTACATCTCATTTATGTTTCATTTCAATTGTTTTGCCTTTTTTCCTGTTTCTCTTTTTTATCTCTTTTATTTTAGTACCAGCTTCTTCTTGATACTTTTGATAATGATGATGCTGATGATAAGGATAATAAGCTGAAATTTGTTTAGTGTTTGCTCATCAAACATGCTTTATGTCTTATCCTTACTTAATTCTGATAAAAACATGACAAGGCAGGTATTTTTTATATATTAAAAATGAAGACACTGAGGAACAGAGGGATTAAATAACACTGTCAGAATGAGAATGTGCTTCAAGATCTGAGTACAGAGCCCATGTGCTTACCATTTTATTATCTTTTTCTCTTTTCTGTCATTGACTGCTTATCTCTCTTATGTCTCATGTTGTCGTGTATTATAGATACCTATGCTTTTTTTTCTAGTACAAACTGTTCAAGTGAGATAACTAGAAATCACAGGTGCACAAACAAATCTATCTAATCTTCCCATTTTAGAGGTTTCAAACATTATTTATAATGTTATGTATTTCTTTAACTTAAAATTTTATAATTCAATACAGAATTTGAGGCAACTTGCTTGAAAATTTTTAACCTTTAAATAACTTTAAAGTTCTGTCTTGTCTTTTCACAGAATTCAGCACAAGGCTTTGAATATTAGAAGTGTCCACATATTGTTGAATGAATATAGTTAACTCATGTATTAGCCCCCAGGTGTCTCCAAATTCCCCAGCATTCTAGAATCATATTTTCCTTTAATATTTTAATAAAATGGTTAAGGTCCTATTCTACATGCAGTGGGAAGCTTGTTGCTTTTCTGCCCAATACTTTCAAGTCTTACAAATCGGGAGAGGTGACGTATGTATGTTTTCTGGTCACCTGCCGCCTGAGTTGTTTTCCTTTCAACTCCTGCCATCACCTCCACTCTGTGACTTGTCACCTGAGAGTGCCATCCTCTCGCTGTATCAGATACTGTTTTACTGACATGAGGGTTGTGTGGTAGGCCCTTACTTGGAATGTTGAGGGGTTTGAAGCATATCACAGCTTTTGCTCATGCATTCAGTATTTCACCGAACATACAAACATTTGTTGAGTACCTTGTGGCCTTATGTTGGACACTGAGAAGACAATGATAATGAAACAAATGGACTCCACAGTCATGTAGCTCATATTCTAGTCAGAAAAACATAAAACTCACACAGGCACAGAGATAAATGTAAAATAACAATGGAGATAAGTATGGTGAAATAAAGGCCCCTAGTAGTTTGAGATCTCTGGTAACTGGCCTGAACTGAGAACAGAAAGATAAGTAGGCAGTAACCCGCCCGGCCGCAGAGATAGAGGGGTAAGAGAGGGGATGAGAGCATGTACAAACAAATAGTTGGGCTGGAGCCAGGTACAGTACAGCAACTGCAAGGAAGGCCACATGTTCGGAATGCATAGATTCAGGCCAAGAAGGGAGAGAGAGAGAAATGAGTCTGATGCAAACATGCGAAGCTATTTTAACCAACGCACAGTCTATTTCAGTTTTCCTTAACAACAAATGTGACCTTAATCCTAAAGTTAATGGGGGAATTATTGAATGGTTTGAAGTAGGGGATTGATAGGATACCCTCTGTATTTTGAAAAAAAACAATTCTGGCTACTGTGTAGAGACATGAATAAAAAGGATAAGGCATGGTAGATAAGGGATTCCAAAATGGAAGCCTTCATCCAGGTGAGAGATGATGCTTTAGATGAGGGAAATGATGGTGTAGATGAAGATAGATAGAAAGATTTGAGAAGCATTTAGTGTAGCTTAAAGCAAGAGGACCTGGCGATATGAAGGAGGCATGGAATGTTAAAAAATAAAGCTCACTGAAGTGGTAAAGGTAGCAACTTGAAAAAAATACATGCTAAACTTTAGTCTTAAAACTTGATCAGACTTTTTTGAAATTGGAAATTTTTCACCAACTGCCTCTCTCCTTAGGCTCTTGCCTAAGAGCTTTGCCTTTAAACTCAGTTTCACTCCTTCAAATCCGTATTCTCTGCCACCATTTTGCTGCTTCAGGTATATCTGGACTCACAATCATTTCTTCAGAGTAACTTTAATAACACAATTATTGTGTGGACAGTTTAAAAATCTCTGCAAGTTTAGGGCCCACCTCTGCACTGCCCGCATTTTACTGAGCTGTTGCTAAACTGTGCCACAGTTCCACTCTTAGTTACACAAAGACCTTGGAGAAGTACTGAAGTCATAGCATTTTCTTAGTATATCTTAGATCAAATTCTTAGGCATCTATTCCCACCAGAACTTGCAGGGTCATGGGGCTGTATATGCCTGTGGGCACTTCCATCTCCCTATTAGACATGGTTTTCTTCAGGCTTCCTTAAGCCCCTCATATCCTGGTATCCCATTTGTTATTGACTAGCTGCGGTATTTATGTCTTATAGGAAAAGATTGCCTTTTTATTATTTTTCTAGTTCTCCTTCTCTATGTCATGCCCTATCCTCAAAAATGTCAGTTTTTTTAACCCCAAATGACTTACAGAAACTAAACATAAAATTAATTATGATTTGCAAATATATATATATATTCCTGGGAGGAAGAGTATCCATACCTAATACTGGATCTGTTGCTTTTTGCAGGGAACATCCTTCCATGTCAGAACTCCCCATGTTTCCTTATCCAGATTTCTTCACCAGGGCTGATGAGGAGTTGGCAAGAATCATTGACCATCATGTAAGACTGACTTTCTTAAACTAGCAGCAAAAGCTTTGTTCTTGAAAGTGCTTTGAATTATAAAATGTGGTTCTGAGACCGAAACAGTAACATGTGGAACTTAAAAGTGAAGCCACAATAGGGCACTGCCAAACTTAAGTATATTTCATGTATTACTTGTACACCTCGGTGCCTTTATTGGGTCACAGAAAATTTGGCTCCCTTGTCATTCATAAAACACTAGCCTAATCCTGTTTCCTGAATTAGTACTGATTTCTTGTGACAAGAGTCTGATATTGAACACCTAACAATGGCTTCTTCTATAGTGTAGTTTTATTAACAGAACAAAAATCTTTTGACTCGATTTTCTGTGATGATCCTTCTCCCTTGAAATGTTAGAAAGATTTTAATCACTTTGTTGATGGTATGAGTTACACAAGCAGGGCCAATGCAAAGCCATTCACATAAAACACTTTAATCCATAGAGCTATATTCAGTTGTTGATTTCTAACCAAATCATTTTATGACTGTTTCTTTTTATGAGTAGAGTTGAAATAGAGGAGAAAGTCCTTATTTTCTGTTTTTTTTTTTCCTTTGGATACAATATTGACTCAATAGCATATAGAATAGTTTATAAATTGATCTTATCACCAGTAGTTCAGTATTATCTATGTTTACATTCTCATGGTTAATTTCTTCATGTTCTATTTTTAATTCATCATCTTTTGAGTAAGACTAAGGATTATTTCATTGACTGAATCGAATAGTTATTTGTCTCATTGATAGTATTTCAGCCACTCTAGCAATAGCTATAATATAATAGCTATATTAGGGTTTGGAAACTGAATGATACCCTGGAATCACAAAATGGGAATTGTCATATTATTCTTTTATTCACTAATAAAGCTTTTGCTAAAACAATGTATCATATATACAGGGAAATATCAAAAATTCTTAATTGTTCATAACTTGCAGTATCTATATTTTACTATCCACTTCAAGTAAATGATCTAGAATAGCAAAGAGATAGCAAACTGCCAATGTGCATACCCACATATATGTAGGATAGTTTTAATAATAAAACAATACAAAAATCTTTTGACCCGATTTTCACTGACCATTTTTTACCTTTGAGAGATTAATAAGACCTTAATCACTTTGCAAATTAAACACATCTGCCTAGGTCTAGTTAAAGAGACACAGAACGTTCTTTTGAATGATAGAAAGGAAGCTAAGAAATAGCTCCTAAAAACCATTCTCTTTTCCTCTTTTCAAGTGTATAAGTATTACCCAAATAATTACCACTATGGATCTGTTTATAGAGTAGCTATGGAAGGGTAAAGGAATCCTTTCTGATAATATGTCTGAGAATTGATAGAATCCACATTGTTTGAAATGTGGCTGTTCTAATCAAATAGTCTGTAGTATTGATTTTAGAAGGTTTATGGAAGTTTCTCTGAATATTACATGTCAAAAATATTCATGTACCATTTCTTTTAGATGGCTACAGCGGTAGTGCTTTGTACTTATATTTGCTCTTACATTCATTAATTTAATCCTCACCACACCCTGGTAAAACAATTACCCTAAGAAGAACGGTGGTGTACAGTCATTTGCCCAAGGTTTTGAAGTTAGTAAGTGACTGAGTCTACACACAAAATCAGATCTCTGGACTCCAAATCCACTTTTCTTTTCAATTTTCCATAATTGCTAATTTTTTTTTTTGTTTATTGTCTCTAACCTGAGCTGGGAATGGGAAGGTGGAATCTGTAGTATGGACAAGAAACAAAACCACACAGCTACAGGTGTAATTGTCCTGCTAATAAGTCAACTGAATTTTATCGAATGGTCATAATATGCAAGGAATAGGACAGATGTGTAATTGTTCAGCAGATATTAAGTTACCTTATATACTGCTGGTCTTCCATAGCATGATGGTTGAAGCCCTGGGTGAGTAGGTTGAATAAAACAATAAATGGTGCTTCTATTTCCTATCAACTTCAAGCATATCAACACCCTCCTAGCCGCCACAGTTGATATGATGGCAGATAAAAGTAAAGACGAGACAATGGTTTACCCAAATTGAATTTGTCATGATTAATAGAAACAAAAATGGGAAAGAAGAGCTTTTCTTTTTTCCCTGGAGATAGCAAAAAGAAAGATAATAGTTAAGTGAATTCCAGACATGCCAAGTTCTAACAAGCTAGGAAAAGACAAGGAGCAGCCTGCTGGACCTTAGCAATATGATGCCCCATTAGTGCTTTGATACATGCTGTTTGGGAGACCAAAGAATTCTGTTTTACTGAGAGCTCTTAGAACTAATCTTCTGTTGATATTTCACAATATAAAGATCAAAGTCATGAAGTGCATTGAAATCTCTCATGTAAAGTAGGTAAGTTGTCTGTGTATAGATACTGTTTTATTATACCAATGACTACTTTTATGCTTTAACTTAAAATTGGTAGTTTTGTCAAACAAGATAATTATTTAGCTTATTATATGAAAAAAATATGTCACAGATGCTTGTAGACTAAACTAAAGTATGAATTTAAACCTGTGTCTGAATGTTCTGTATGTTTTGCCTCCATTTTCTGGGTATTTCATCTAAAAGTGGTTTCTGAGACATGGTACCTATATGATGAACTATATGTAGAAACAGTCTCAAGTGCAGGTAACTTTTGTACTTCTTAGGTCTTTAAAGTTTAACAGGAATTTAAAAAATGGGTATGATTTTATTATCCTTTTTTGTTTAATATTTATTTTCAGTATGTTGACATTTTAAATTTTATTACCTTTTGAAGGTTGAGTGATGTGTTACGGATTCTGAGGTTTAGTTCAGCTTATTAATATCTATATCTCAGAGGACAAATAACAGTCATAATGTATACTGAAATGTACTGATTTCTAAGTTAACCAATGATTTGGTAAGCATAGTCTGGTCATTTGTGAGTACGCATGGGCTGAGGGTGACAAAATGAGCAATATTGGTAGGTTTTTAGGAATTTCCAGCATTTGATGCTACGGGTCATCCTGCTCTAACTTTTTACCTATCTTGGAGATAGATAAGTACCTCTTTTAAGCAAATCTCCCTCTTTAAAAATATTAGAAAGGGAAAAATGGTTCTTGACATGATATTTGGTTGACTTGCCATCATTAGTTCCAACTACTTATTCCTGGAACTCATCTCCAGAGAGTTGTTGTCATGAATTAACATGCTCAGTTGAGGTTAATCCCTCAGAAGTACTTTTACATTTGTCTGCCTATTAACCTCATTTTCAACTTCATATGTAATAGCATCACAATTTTTGCCTTTCACTTTAATTTCATTTTTCTTTTTGTTTTGCTTTGAACTTCGTTTTTCATTTTATGATTCTATGCTATTATGTAGATACAAATATGATGAAGAAAGGAAATTCCTTTGGTATATAGAAATGTAAACCTTATTATCTCTCTTTTGAATGGTTTATTAGCATTAAAAATGTTAAGAGGGAATCCTCTTTTTTGTGAGACTTGTATGCTTTCTAATAGATAACATATTTTTCCAGTGTGGTAAAATATAAATTCTTGAAAACTGTCTGTGAGAAAAACTGGGTAATTGGATATAACGATCTGTATTTTGAGAGGTAAGTTAATATATATCTTCAATGGAAAATAATATGTAAACTACACTTTCTCTTTATAACAGTGGCAGAAAGAGCTCAAGACCAGACAGGAAGAAGATACAATATGTGAGGCCAAAGAACGTAAAAATAAAGAGTCAGAGGAAGAAAATCGCTTCAGAGAGATTATGAAGAGAAGAGAAGAGAAACTACACAAGCACACCAAACCCTATGAGCTTCCTACTAGGACTGAAGTAATCTCATTAGAAAAGAAAATGACCCCCAAAATTGAGGTCCATGGGCCAGAAATTCAGTATATGAAAGAGACCAGGATAGATACATGCTAGGAAAATTTATTCCAATTAACTGGAGGCCATGTCTTAGGAAGGAGTTGTTACCCTGTATAGGCTCTTTAATAGTCATGTCTTAGTCCTGTATTAAGAGTTAGCTCTTAATCACATTTGAGTGAAATGACTTTACTAGTTAAACATTTTCAAGAATACAGCTAGAGCTTTTCCTAATTGACTCTTATCTTGTCCTCATAGAGCATGCTTAATCAATGACTCTCAGAATATTGATATTCATTGGACAGCTCAATGGAAATGACTTACAAATTATTAATGAGTTACATTTAAGAATTATTACTTGAATGTGGACAACTGATACTCCTATAATAACTATTATACAAATAAAAGAAGTAAGGCACCTGCTTCTATTTATATTTCATTGTCAAACTATGTCAGGAGCTTGGATTTTACAAATTACTGTATATAAACAAATCTGGAAGGGCCAGCCATCTCAGAATTAAGTGATCTTTTACAGATACCAGAAGAGATTCCTGAGTGACAGTTTTACTTTGCTAAGTGAATTTATGAGACTGACTTGGGTGGCCCTGGTATGTCCAGCAGCACTTACTGGAGGGATTCTTCCAAAGAGGAATCATGTTTTAAATGGCATTTTGCTTCACCTAATGCTGTGTGTCTATGGGTAAGTCCTGGGGTGGGGTTTCTGTGATGCCTTACTCTCCTTTCCTAAAAAATATAGGTAATAGCCACACCTCAGTTTTGCACAGATGACTTGGTGATGCTCAGAGAACAGGCACCTTATCAGGGCTGTCAAACTCAGGTGACTACCAGGACAGGAAGGTGACATAAATTAGTGAAAGGAGCTTCCAAATACCTCCGCCAAAAAATATTCCCACCCCTCCGCTGCCCTCGGTAATGTATACTCAGCATTGTGGGATCATGTAGTCTTCCCAGAAGCCCTCACATGAGTTTTATTTCCTTTTTTTTTTAAAGAGAAGTTGTAAATTTCAGAATGCTGACAAACAAAAAAAATCACATAATTCTTGGTTAAATTTGACACATGGGCCACAAGTTTGTGACCTGTATTATGTGATTTTATGGTATAATTCTCTGTTTAATATAACATAACATATGATAGAAAAATGGGATGGGAAAGAGCGTTCCTGTTTCGATTCCCTATAGAGCTGATTCAAATCTGTGTAGCTCCTCCCAAACCTGCTGTCTCATACAGAAAATATGTTAAGTTCTCAGAAATAGTATCTTCCAGTGCACATTTCCAAATACCTTCATCAATATTTGCTTCCTTCACATGCGAAAAGAAATCTCTTTTCTCTGAGTCCCATCCCTTCAAATATTATTGCATTCAACTCTCCATATCCTCCTTGGGGTCCTCCTCTTCTCTCACTTTAATACTTGGAGGTCTCAATTTTCTACCATCCTTTCATCCCAACTACCCTCTCCTTAAGGCCTCCCCTCTGTGACGGCAACCCTACAACCCCTGACGGCTCTTTTCAATCATAATCTTTCTTTGGGTTTGTAGAGATATGGAACAACTGGACTCTAGTTGTGGGGAAGGTACTTTGGAGGCCCAACTGCTCCTTACAAGAATTTCACCAGATGCTGCTGTTTCAGAACGATTTTCATAATAAACCTGGTGCTTCCAATTTCTGCACTAGTTGGGCGTTCTGAGGCATGAGCTAGTCTGCCATAAGGCTTCCCGGCTGCACACTTAGTTTTATTTATTCATCTTCTTCTGTCCTGCTTACTGTTTTCTCACTTGTTCACTTGCTTTCTAACTTCCACATTTTTCTTAGTATCTCCAGTGTGTATTATCTTTCCTTCTTATGGATTTGTGTCTTTTTTTTAAAAAGTAAGTCTTTCTCTATCATAGTGCTGATTCAGAAAGGAGCAAAAACAATATGTATGAATATATTTTTATATAATATATTTCTCTCATATATGTATATACGTGTGTGTATATATATATGTATACAGTGTGCATGTATATATATAAATATGTGTGTATATATATATATATATATATATATATATATAGTGAGAGAGAAAACTGAGAAAACAAAAGTGAAACAAAACAGAAAGATGATCAGTCAGTCTTTATGCCTTTATTCTTTTTTTTAAAATTTTGGTATTATTAATCTACAATTACATGAGCAACATTATGGTTACTAGACTCCCCCCATCATCAAGTCCCCACCACATACCCCATTACAGTCACTGCCCATCAATGTAGTAAAATGCTATAGAAATAATTATTTAAAATTCTTAAAATCTAGCAATATACATCTCCCATGATTTTCCGTTTATATCCTGAAATATTAGCAATGACTGGGGCTTGTAGATCTGTATTCACATTCTAGCTATGCCATAAAATGGGTACAATTAATGTAAAGACTGGTATCAGTCAGAAGCTAATGAAGAAAACAGAAACATGTTGGTCATTTTAACAGAGAATTGAATGTAAGGAACTGCTATAAAAGGTATTAGAGAACTGAGAGAAACAAAAGTGAAACAAAATAGCACAGAGCTGCAGGGAACTGCTGCCTCCTCTGGGCCAGGGGATCCGAGAGAAGAGGCTGGCCTATTAGAATCTAGAAACGCGGAAGGGAACCTCACACGGTGGACTCCGCCCAGCTGTTGCTGGTGCCCCTCAGGGCACAATAAGGCAGTCTGGGGAGGGCAGAATAAGAAAGGAAACCGAAACAAACTGTTCATTGGGAAACATCCCGCCAAGAAGAGCAAGAACACAGGAATCAGTTCCTTCGTCCCTGTGCTGGAACTCTTCCTCAAATGCTCCTGTCCCGGCAGGACAAAGCAAAGAGAAGGGCGGCCTTGGGCCTGAAAGACTAGTTCCAGAAGTGGGAAAAACGTGTATCTCAATGCCTAGGACATATGAGGCTATGCAATTAAAGTTAACTCCCCCCTCCCCCCCATTCCTCCCACTTTTCCTCTGAGTTTTAGGCCTTCTTCCCTGCTTTCTCTGGAAGCTTTCCTGGGACAAAAAAAAAAAAAAATGCTTGGAAGAAAGCATCATCTTAAGTTAATGAAAATGCTTAAAAAGAAACTTTCAGAGCAATCTATCTTTACAGTGAACTCTTAATTCTTCCAAAAAGTATGTACTTTATCACAAACTCAACTGGAACTCTTTGTGATTTACTCTTATTACCAATTTTGCCCCCAAATTCACAAAGGCTTCTGTGAGTCTCAGGCTGGGTTTGGGCAGCAAACGGATTCTTTCAGCTGTGTTTGTTTCTTACAGTTTCTCAGCCTTCCTTATTTACTTTCCCAGTCTTCCCACTTAAATTGGTAGGACGAAGAAGGAGAACAGGAAAGATACTCTGTGTCTGTTTAAACTTCTATAGCTCTTGTTCATTTCTAAATGCTCTGCTCTTCTGAAGAGTTAACCTATCTCAGGTCTAATCTCCTTTCTATCTAAAACTTGTTTCTGTGCACCTTTCATTTTAAAAGAGTAAACCAGGTCTTCCTACAATGCCTGTTATGAATTCTCTATAGATTTCTATATAGCAGCCACCAAAGTAACTACTTTCTTCACACAAACTACCTCATAGACCTTTTACATTTTTGAGAATGAAATATGTGTAGGAATTTTAGCTAGTTTCACTAGGGTGTTGGAAATTAAAAGACATACTATATTAGGTGACAAAAGAGGGAAAAAACAAATAGCAAATTCTGAGGAACAGAAACATAAAAATAAGCATTTCTTCTAGTGCCATTTAAAAAAGTAAAATCAAATGTTTCACAAAGGTTTGTGCTGTGTGCCAAAGAGAAATTTAAAGAAGAAAACACCCAACACCAAGCTCTTTGCTCTGACATTGGTGGGGAGGTGTTTGGGAGTGGAGGCACGCAGAGATAGTAGACAGGTGAAGGCAATGCACACCAGCAATTTAGGACCTCTCTGGTCAGGGTGGTCAGGGTTAGCGATTATAATTCGAGTAATTGATTCCTCTTTTCTTACTAGTAGTAAAAATCCTCTCTGGGACCATATGACTCTAACTCTACTAGTTGGTTTTGAGTGGCCTTTCTCACCTTTTTTGAATTTCTCATATCAATAAATCCAAAGAAAGTTACAGTGTATATAGTAAATACAGTTCCTTCTTCCCATATACCACCATAAACATCCCACTGTGTCCACACCACATAGTTCTATAGCAGGGTTTCACAACAGTGATGCTTCTGACATTTTGAGCTGGACAATTAATGTGGGGAACATTTCTGTGCATTTTTGGCTGTTTAGCAGCATCTTTGATATCTACCCACAGGATGCCAGAAGAAGCCCTGCCCCTGCCAGTCCTGAGTACCACAAGTAGCTTGAGGGGTCAAATCACTCCCACTTGAGAATGACTGTTCTCTAGCTTCACTGAACTTGACTTCTAAATTTCAACCTCTTGGTGATTGCTTTTGTGTTGCTTTCAAATTTTGCCCAAAAGTTTTCACGTGGAACTCTCACTTTTGGTCAGCTGGTGACTCTCTTTAAAACCACCAAAGGTGTCAAGATAGTAGACAGGTGAAGGCAATGCACACCAGCAATTTAGGACCTCTCTGGTCAGGGTGGTCAGGGTTAGCGATTATAATTCGAGTAATTGATTCCTCTTTTCTTACTAGTAGTAAAAATCCTCTCTGGGACCATATGACTCTAACTCTACTAGTTGGTTTTGAGTGGCCTTTCTCACCTTTTTTGAATTTCTCATATCAATAAATCCAAAGAAAGTTACAGTGTATATAGTAAATACAGTTCCTTCTTCCCATATACCACCATAAACATCCCACTGTGTCCACACCACATAGTTCTATAGCAGGGTTTCACAACAGTGATGCTTCTGACATTTTGAGCTGGACAATTAATGTGGGGAACATTTCTGTGCATTTTTGGCTGTTTAGCAGCATCTTTGATATCTACCCACAGGATGCCAGAAGAAGCCCTGCCCCTGCCAGTCCTGAGTACCACAAGTAGCTTGAGGGGTCAAATCACTCCCACTTGAGAATGACTGTTCTCTAGCTTCACTGAACTTGACTTCTAAATTTCAACCTCTTGGTGATTGCTTTTGTGTTGCTTTCAAATTTTGCCCAAAAGTTTTCACGTGGAACTCTCACTTTTGGTCAGCTGGTGACTCTCTTTAAAACCACCAAAGGTGTCATGAAGTGCCTTTCTTGCTCTGCCCTTCTCCTTTGCTGTTTGTTTTATATGTGATTAACCGATGGCATTTATCACTTCCCTGTGGGCTAAATACAAACGAAGATAAGGAGTCATGAAAACATGCTCTGCCAACCCCTATACAGAAAAGACATGTGTAGTAATAAATTCCATCCACACTGTTGCTCAGCAGCAGGTTGGCCACTTGAGACATCAAGTATTT